GAGTCGGGGTTGGCGGCAAACGAGGCGGGCCGCGCTCTCGCCAAGCTGCCGAGCCGGCGGGGGAGGGCGGCCGCTCGCTCGCCTTGAGTGCGTTGAGCACGTCCTGCCCCGTCACCGTCGAGCGCTTCGCCTCCCTGCTGATGTCGCTCGCTCTGCAGGGCAAGCGGGCGGGGCGAGGGCTCACCACGCAAGAGAGCGGAGCGCAATCTGGCTCCGAGTGGCGGCGGATCAGCGCGCGGGGACGCACATGGTGGTGAGCATCAGGATGAAGATTGACGTCGACTTGTTGAACGCGGCGCGCGCGTCCTTGTGCAGCATCACGCCGTCCGGCAGCTTTGACTTGATGAGCCGCTGCACGACGGCGTTCGGCAGCGCCATGTTGGACGGGAGCGGGGCGACGGCGCCGCTCTCGGCCGGGCGCTTGCCAAGCGTCGTCTGCTGGCCCCCGCTGCCCGCCGCCGCCTTGCCGTCCGCCGGCGACGCCTGCTGAGCCTCGGCAGGCATTTAGCAATCGTTTTTTGCGGGAGTTGCGAACCGGGAAACGAAAAGAATTCCGCGTGCAGAATCCGTTTGCGATGCCAGAAGGCCTGAGGGACTGGGAGAGAGGCGGGCTCCTGGAGGCGATCGCTTACTATAGATCGAAGCTAGAGGCGGTGGTCTTCATGTGGGTGCCAGCACATGTGGGAATAGCCTGCAACGCTTACGCCGACGCGGTGGCGACAGCACACCTCGGGGACAACGACTCAGAGGACGCCTCGAAAGTGGTGCGGGACGCGGTGCGGACGCGGCCATGCATGTACACGGTGCGAAGGGAGGCGGCAGAGAACGCAGAGAAGAGGGAGATAGTGGACCGACGGACGTACGGACACATGTGTAAGAGCGCGCACGAGTGGGTGTGCGAGCAATATCGAAAGACAGTGAGGCCGGGGTCGCACACGGCAGGGGTGGCAGGACGGTTGTGGAGCGAAGTGGCAGTAGCCAGCCTCAAGCATCGATGGGATAATAAGATGAGATTACCAGACGAGAACGGGGGGAAGGACAGGCGGGCGACATTTGACGACGTCGGGGATCACAATGTGACGACCAAAACGATCTTGGGGGCCAGGGCGAGACAACAGGTCGGGGTGCCACATGGGGCACACCACAGGTGTGACGGCGGAGTTGACGTCTCCGTCGGTCCTAGCGGCGTGGCTGAGGGCGGCGGTGGAGGCGCCCGAGGGCGCGGCGTGGCTGGTCTCATGGGTCTAGCAAACCATAGACCACGCTGAGAGAATGCAACGAAAGCAGGCGGACGATAGCAGGACGCACGAACTAGTTAGAGGTAATGACCTCGGTGGGTGTGAAAGGTCTACCCATTACCCAAGAAAGGGTAGGCGCGGTTAGATGGGAGGTAGAATGTCTACCTACCGCACCCCCCCCAATGTCGCTGGGCGGGCTCGGCCCGCAGAGGCGGCATTGATCAGTTCCCCCAATGCACTGCGCGAGCCCGAGAGTTGGAGGCGTGGTCGACGCTGCGCTTGAGCTTCTCCTTGGGGACCCATTTCGTTAAGAAATCGGCGGGCATGGTCGCGCGGGAGGTGGCGTCGTGAGCTGCACGCCGGCGGGGGGCGTCTGCGTGCTGACGTCGGTGAGAGCGGCTCCGGAAGGCATGCCGCGGCGGAGGAGTTGCAGCTCGTCGAGCGGCGTGACGTGGCGGACACGGGCGGTGCCGCCGTTGTCCTTGCGCACCAGATAGACGGAAACGAAAAGAATTCCTCGCGGGAAATCCGTTTGCGATTCCGTTCACACACCTCTCCTTAAAATCCCTGTGTGGTGGCGGCGTGCCGTCCTCCCATCCCTCCCTTGGGTGGTCTGTTTTCTTTCTTTCTTTCCGTTCACGATTCTTAAAAAGAAGAAAATTCTTTCCGCCGAGGAGAAGGCCCGCCGCCTGAACATGGGCTGCAAGGCGCGCGGGCAGCCCGGCCAACCCTTCGACCACAAGAACGGCCACGGCTACGTCAAGGCGCGCATCGCGGTTTCTACCACGACGCGATCTTTGTCAAGCGCAACCACTTCCAACCTGCTGCTCCACGAGACGTTCGGCGGCGGCTTCTCGCCCACCGCCGTTCTCAAGGTCAAGCTGCGCCGCCTCGCGCGCAAGGTCGCGCGCGGCAGCGTTGACCGCACGGCCTACTCGCCCAAGTACTCGCTCTCTTTTATGTCCCACCATGCAGA